TATCAACTAATTGGATAAATATTTGGTGTAAGGTGGATGGGGATTCATGTGCTAGAACAATGTCATCTATGTAATGGATAATGTATGCAGAGGGATAGGCCTGTCATACTGAAAAAATGGAGCCATAGACTCTTGGCATAGTGTTGGACTATATACCATTCCCTGTGGCAGATACCACCATTGGAAGTGGCACATAGGGGCCTGATTATTAATAGATGGTAAACTAAAAGCAAAACGTTTTTTATCTTGGGGGTGGAGAGGGATAGAAAAAACCCCAGTCTTTTAAATCAATCACCAGAAGAGAAAAGAATGTAAAGGAATAGCTACAGGACTGGGATATCCAGGTTGTAGTGCTCCTATAGGTTCCATAGTGAAATTGACTGCCTGCAAGTCCTGTAGCAATCTCCATCTTCCTAACAACTTTATTACAAAAATTGTGGTATTCCAAGGGCTATTGGTGCATTCTAGGTGCCCTGCCATTATCTGTTGATTAACCAGTATATGAGCTGTTGTAATCTTCTGAGTGAGGGGCCACTGAGCAACCCAAACAGAATCTCAGACATCGAAGTTATCTTGGATACCATCCATGGGGTCGGAGAAGAGATCGAGACCCCTCCTGAAAATGTGAGGATGAGTAGCCTATACTAAAACTAGTCCCTTTTAGGAATAACTGGAAGAGGTTATTTTCTGCCTTGATTGTTTTTACCAACCCCTTGAGTGGGAAAGAAACCTTGTTGCAACATCTGATGAGTCACCAGGGAGTTAAGACTAACCAAAAATTTCCCCATATCCTGTATTGTGTCATGACCCCATAGATTGACTGAAATATGGGGGAAGATATAAGGAGAGAAATATTCAGAATAGCCTTGTGCATCCCTCCAGGTTAGCAAGTTGGCACTTCTGCTAGGGTGAAAAACATTGCCCACCCCCTGGAGACCTGTAGTGGCCACACTTCAGACATCTGCTGTCTGCTGTTGCTCACCTGAGGTCAGAGATGTGTTTGGTGGCAGAGGGTAGAGCTGGGGAGGAATTGAGGAATGTGCCCGCATTGTTTGATGGGGCTGAGGTAGGCCCCAGTGAGTTTCCCTCTGTGGGTCAGCCTTCCACATGAGTTTTAGATCTACACTCAGTTGCCCAATTATGTCCTTCTCTACATCTAGTATAGACATCAGGCTTTACTAAAGGAACACCTGCTGGCTGTGTTGCCCTTGCAAATGTGGCAGAGCAGTTTCAGGTAAAATGCCTCTTGTCTCGACAATGAAAACAGCCCTGTCTTTTCCTTTCCTCTAGACCATCAATGAGTAACAGTGATAGCTGTTGCCAAGGCAGCCTCCTGTACACATAAGGGACCAATATCTGCAACAATCCGAATCATCTTAGCCAATACAACCCATTTTTTGTGGGCTCTTAAAGCCTCTTTACCATATTTATTTGAATTTTCAAAAGCCAATTGTTGAACTATTAATTTTCTATCTTCTGTGGTACTTATAATCCTCTCACTAGCTTGCAATAAGCATGCCAAAAAATCTTGAAAAGGTTCTTTGTGGCCCTGATGCATAGAAGGCAAATTAAGGGATACCTCACCTTTTGAAGACAGTTCCCTCCAAGCCCTAGTGGCAGCCATCTTAGTTTGCTCATATACTTGCAAAGGTCAGTTGACTATCATAGCAAAGGCACCTTTGCAGATAAGCATATCTTTCATAATGGCTATGTTGTGAACAGCACTACAAGCTGCCTGGTCTGTGCAATATTCAAAGAAATTTTCTTTCCACAACAAATAATCTCCTGGACTGAAACATACTTTAGGTATTTCTTTCCAGCCATTTTAGGCCATAATCTGTTGTCCTGGGATTTCTACTAAACTCAAGGTAAAGGGATTAGTAGGGCCATAAGTAGCAACAGCTTGTTTTAATTCTTTTAAGGTTTTAAAAGGTGTAGCTTCATGAAGACATATAGTTTGCCCTGTATTATTGGAGACTTGGACTTCAGTAACAGAGTAGATATGTTGAAATCTCTCCCTGGGGTCCCCTGCCTGTCTGGCTTCTTTCAGTGCCAATTGAAAGGGAGATAGATAAAACGGCTCTGCTCCCTTAGAGGCAGAAGTTCCAACATGTGACACAGCAAAATTTCTCTGAGTTGAAAAGGCGGGGATTGCCACCTGTGGCTCAGTTAAAATCATCTGGTGTTTTGAAATGAAATTTGTGGGGAAACACTCCTCTGGTAGGGAAGGATCCCTTTCGTCTCCCATCACTCCTTCCTTATTTGTATGAGCAAGGCGAGAGGGTTCAAGTTCTATGTGCAGTGCCATTGCTCCACTCTCCTTGTCCCACTCCCACTCAGGACTTGATTTTAAAGAAAACCTTCAAGGCAAATCCTCTGTGATTGTAACCACAATCCAGAAAAGAAAAGTAAATACAGGAATCAAGCATGTCAGAAACATTTCTACCTACCTCTGATTCTTGAGACTCTATTTGTCCCATTTTTAATTACTAGTAATTCAATATAAATTTCTCCTTTTTGCTTTGAGTCCTATTATTTTATATATAGATATATATATATATATATATATATATATATATATATATATATATATATATTAAATTCAATAAACCTCCATGGCCCACTCTTTACACTTGATAATTGTGAATATAACACTCCTGTGCTGAATATTGACCTAGCAATGCACTTCTCCATCCTGTTGCACACAAAAATTTAAGAAGTGTTCTCCCACCTACCAATTCTCCTTACCCAGGGCCCGTGCTCAGGTGCCAAATTGTCATGACCTGCATGGTTCTCAGTGGTCCCAGGGAGAAATGGTAAGGGTATTCAGAAAATGAAGACAAGAAACAAGATTGAGGTCAGGTGGAAGCCTCTTTACCAGATGGGAAAACAGGACTGAACAACAGCAGTAGGGGTGTTTATTCATAGTTTTGCAAAGTTAGTATCATGAGACACAAGGTTGCCTCGCAACTAATGACTGAAATTGTCTAGGCAGGATGTTTTTCTCAAGACTGAGGTAGCTTGACTACTTTAGTCCCTGTGGCCTTGTCTCACCCCCGCACATATGAGCAATTTCTAGCTTCAGCTGTTCCCAACAGTTATATATATACATTCAGTTTCCCTCCAGGTAGTTGCTGAAATCACTCTGATGTCAGTCTGCCAATAGGTAGATGGAATAAAATCTGATCTTTCCTGCAACCTCAGACTCCATGTGTTGTCTCACTCCACCATTGACCTAAGAGGTAAAACAATAAAAGCAATACACCTCATAAATATAAATTAGTGGTATAAATCACATGATCATCTCAGAAGATGCAGGAAAATACTCCAAAAAAATGTAATGTAACTTTAGAATAAAGACCTTGTTGAAAATAAGTATATGGGTGCCTTATCATAGAAAGATAAAAGCCATATGTTAAAATACACAGTGGGAATCATACTGAATGAAGTTATTCTGAGACTATTCCCTCTAAAATCAGGTATGATACAAGGGTATATGCTACTGCCACTCTTCAATGTAGTTCTTGAAAATTTAGCCATTTTTATCAGGAAAGAAAGAAATAAAAGGGATGTAAATAAAAAATGAAGAAGTCAAATCATCTATTTGCAGATGATATTCATTACATGAAAATACCCAACAATATCCACCATAAGATTTTATTAACAAATCCTATCAACAAATTAAGCAATTTGACAGAATATAAAATCAATACAAAGAATCAATAGCATACTTCTGCAGTAATAATGAACCCAGTGACAAAAATTTGGAAAATAATTCATTCAAAATAGCTTTAAAATGTGAAATGCAGAGGTAATAACCTAACCAGGAAAAAGTAAAACCTCTAAAATGAAAATTACTGTACTCTGAAGAAATAAATTGAAGAAGGTATTGGAAAAGGAAAAGATCTTACTTTTTGGAAGAACTGAAGTAATATTTATTAAATGACCACATAGAGTATACTCAAAAGATACACTGAATGGTTAAATTTTAAAGTTTATTACAGTAAAAGAAACATTGCCATTAAATCCCTCAAGGTAATTCTCCTTGAGTTAAACATACTTATACAATTCTTCTTGCCATTTTCTGAAGCAGTTCTAAAGGTCTTCATTTGTCATTTTCTTTAGTGGTGCTTTTGGGGCTACCTCTCTTTCACTAATCAGTTCAAATTGTTTACATTTCACTGACAGTTTAATCTTGCAGAAGAGCCAAAATGTACACAGTGCCAAATCTAGTGAAAAAGGAAGATAACACATAATATTTTGTGAGTCTGGGAATCCATTATGTAAAACTCAGTAGCATCATTCATTGAATATTAATTGAATATTTTATCACACCTCCTAAAGATACTCAGGGAAAGTTTCCAGCTGAGGGTGGTGGCACACACTTTTGATTCCAGCACTTGGGAGGCTGAGACAGGAGCCACTGTGAATTTGAGGTGAGCCTGGGCTACATAGTAAGTTTAGCACGTATCTTGGTTACTTTTCTCTCATTGCTGAGACAAAATACCCAACGCCCAAAATGAAGGAAGGAAAGGTTTATTTAGCTTACAGTTTGTGGAGGTTTCAGTCCATACTTGGCTGGCTCCAAGGCAGAAAGTAGCAAAGCAACAAGAGCAAAGGGGGGAATGGCAGCTGAACAGCAAAGCAGCCAGAGCAAACCGGAGGAATGGCGGCAAGCAGCTTTTTTCCCTGCCTTACTTTGTAAACAGGCTACCCTCACCTAAGGGGCGTGTAGCTCTCACATAATCTCCATGCCCTCCTCTTCCACAGGCTCAGGATGTATACAAGTAAGCACCCTGGCTTCCTGCAGAGTTACTTAGCCAAACCTCTAGACTCCCCAAATTGACACAATGTTTCAACCATAACAGCACCAGTCTGAAATATAGAGTGAGAATCTATCTAAAAAAAAGGTACTCAGGGAAAAACATTCCAGAACTTTTTCAGAGAGTAGATTCTGTAACGACTCTGGCAGCTTGCAGAATGATCATATGTTGACCCACGATAACCAGCCTCATCTCCTTTCTCAGGTGGACCACTTCTTCCATCATGAGAAAAACTGTAGTGCTCTTCATCCTCTTGGTAATCAACATTACAGGACCATCGATAACCAGATTCATCTCCTCTCTGAGATGGACCGTTTCTTCCATCATGAGAAGTACTGCGGCCTTCATTGTATTCTTGATAAGCAACATCACTGTAATATGTACTGTAGCTTCCTTCACCAGGTCTGTCTAGCACTGGTGGTCTCTTTCCTAGCAGTAGTGGATTGTTTGGCACAATATCAAGTGTTCTATGGCAGCCACCACTGGGATGACTCCGAGGAGGTACTCTTTCTCTTTGAAGTCTGTCATAGTCATATTGTCCCTAACACTACATGTTATGTCTTCTGTCAACCACGACTCCAGGGGACCAGAGGGCCACCCAATACAGCACTCCATGGGCCACCGCTACCTTCTCCGCTGCCTCTGCCACTATGGCCGCCAGGGCCACTCTCCCAGGAGGCACTTCTGGCGCCTGCGTTGACGTCAGCCTCTGACGGCTTTCATTTTGTCTTTATTACAAATTTCTAGAATTTTGACTCTGATGTTTTATGGAATTCTTTTCTGATCATATTTATTTGGGGTTAAGTGCCTTATTTATTTGAGTGTTCATTTTAGTCTCTAGATGTGGGATATTTTCTGCAACCATTTTTATAAGAGATTTTTATAACTTTAGTTTTCTTTTCCATCCCTTCCTTGACTTGGATAATTCATCAGTTTGGTCTTCTAGAGTCATTTAGCTCTTGTATCCACCTTTCATGCATTCTTGCTTTTAGAGTATCACTGAGTAAGTGATCTACCGTAGTCATCTTTGGTATGCAAGTGCTTTGAAATTTATGGACTTTGGTTCTTGGCATATTTTGATGCAAAAATTTGCTCTCTTGTGCATCATTTGTTCAGTACGTGGCACACAAGCTAAGACTTGTTGGTGTTGAGTCTCTTGCAACTTGCTTTCCACCCAAAACAGTTTGTTTTTGATACTTGTGCTTTCTAAAACCCATGAATGGCAAGAAACAAATTACCAGTGACACTACTGCGGTCCTCAGGTCCTGATAATCTCTCCCTTATTAGTCCTATCTGAAAGCATGCCTTTACATTATAATTTCTATTTTCAGGATTTTTGCTTGATTCCTTTTCATCGTCACTAATTTTTTTTTTTTTTTTTTTTTTTTTGGTTGTAGATATGGACCTCAGGGCCTTCACAGTGAGCTACATGCCCAGACCTTTATGTAGTTGATTTTTTTTTTCTTTTGAGACTGAGTTTTACTCAGTCACTCAGTTGCCAGGGCTGACTTTCAACATGCTATCCTCCTGCCTCAGCCTCCCAAGTGTTGTGATTACAGACATGTGCCAACTGCCAGGCTGAATCCGTAGTTCTTTTCTAAGGCTGTCATTCTTATTTCTCATCATTGTCTCTAATACAGTTTTTTTGTGTCTTCTTTAATCTCATGAAAATTCTGAATAATTAAATCCTTTATCTGTTTATGTCATCTTTGAGTTCATGGAATATTCTGGTAATTTCTTCATGCATTATTCTCTGATCTTCAAACATTTTGCTTTTGAGTTTTTTTACCTGAGACTTTCCTCTACTATGGTGCTCATGACCTCATCCCTTGGGCAATAATCAATTTCTGAGGCATCATGTTGCTTTGTTTCTTTCATGATTTTTGAACTTCTTTGTTAAATGTTGTGGATCAGTAGGGCCTGAAAGCTCTGTCACTCTAGTAGAGATCTCTCTTGTAAGTGCATTTCTCCCTGTGATGTGCCTTTAGTTTTGGGTGTGATTTAGTGCACAGACACCTACTCAACTTTTCAAAGAAAAAGATTGGTTCTGAGCACTGAACTGCAGGGAGAGAACAGCTGCTGGTAATACTAACGTCCAAAGAATCAATCATATACTGATACATAATTTAGGGTAGTGGAGTGCTAAACTTGTTTAGCAAGTTTATACCCTTTCAATATTGCAGGGATACAAAGGATTAGTAATGGTAGTGGAAGCTCTGGAGGATAACAGAGAAAAGAATTTGAAAAACTAAAGAAGAAAAATTGAGAAAATCAGAGGGAGATTAAAAGGTAACAAAAGGAAATGGAAGAGGAGAAAGTAGTTTTTGATAATATCTTTATACCTGTAAATATCGAGGCAGGGAGGCAGTTTGGAATGATAGGTGCAGGGGTAGAGGGAAAGGGAAGTATGTATGAGTAAAAAGTAGGAAAGTTTTCATGGTGATTTTATTAAGTTTATAAACTAGCAGAAATTCTATGTTAGAAGACTGAAGCAATGACTTTTGATGGTGGAAAATCTGTTGGTTGATGTAAGGTAGTAGAGAAACGAAAGTGTCTATCAGCATTCATACAACTGCTCATGAACATATACATGCTAAAATAGAAAAGCAGGAAAAATTAAATTTTTATAATTGCTTTCGTTTTTAAGAAAGGAAGGAGAGGGGCTGGGGATTTAGCTCAGCGGCAAAAGCGCCTGCCTGCCAAGCGCAAGGTAGTGAGTTCGGTTCCCGGTACCGGAGAAAAACCAAAAAAAAAAAAGGAAGGAGAGGGTAGGGAGACAGTGTTTGAGAGGGTAAGTGAGGAGTGACTGGGGGGAGAAATTTTAAATTGACAGTGAAAGAGATACAGGGAGATTTAGTCCAATCAATATCCTAACAGAAACTCTAACTTTTAGAAATCCTGTGGAACAACCCCTGGTGAAGGGGAAACATAATGTAAAAATGTTGGAATGCTGTAGCAGTTACATTTATCTTAATAGTTTATGTATAAAAGAAATGAATAGATAGAAAGGGATAGGAAAAGAGACAAGAAATAAAAATATGATAGAAGAGCTAAGAGATTGGAAGGTGTGAGAGGAAAGTGACACAGATAAGGAAAGGATGAATTTGTAGATGGGAGTTGAGAAAGAAAATGGGAGGTTGTATCCAACTACTGAACTAATGATCAAGTAAGATTAGATAACATCCAGGACCAACCTTTGCAGTGGGTATATGGGAATTAAATACCGAGTGTTTTACAAGCAGCCATAATAAATGTGTATACATTGCTATAACCATGAGCGCACACATACAAGTGCCTATAGCTAAAAAAAATAAACTCGAAAAACACACACACATATAAATACATAAACACACACACACACACACACACACACACACACACACACACACAAACCTCACCAAATAAACATATAAGGGTTCTGTTTTCAGGAGCCTAGTGGATTCTCACAATATTACTGTGAATTACCAGTGTTCTTCCCACTGACAAATAGCAACCTCAGCAACTTTAGGTTCCCCAGCTGTGATTCTGTCACAGACTCTGGTATTTGATGCCCTTAGCTCACCTGTCTCAGTTTCCTATGTTCCCTGTTTGCAATTATGTCTCAGTTCCACTCCGGATTTTTCTTGAC